ATCTAATGTAAAATCTGCATGTAAAAGTTTGAATCCTGCTTTTTGAAAAGCTTACGATTATTTAATAAATAAATCTTCCAGACTTAGCTGATAAAAGTACATCACACATTGTTCCAGGTGGACACCATTGCTTTTATTGCTTATGTATGCCTTAAATATTGCACAGAATGTACTTTTACTTAATTTTTTTCATTGATATGGATTTCAAATGTAGCTGGACATTCTGTACCTTTTTTTCTGTCAATGCTAATTACCTACATTTTTCTTGTTTGTTTACTGCAATTTTTATTAAATTTTATAAACAACATTGTGCTAAATACAAAAAACAAATTCCCTTGTTGAAGTCCTTATCCTCATGGTGATGGTAATAGAGATGGGAACTTTGGGGATGATTAGGTCATGGGATGGAGCCCTCATGAAGGGGATTGGTGCCTTCCTACAGAAAGATGACAGAGCCAAGTGTCTCCTTCTGCTGTGCAAAGGCACAGTTGAGAAGGCTTATCTATGAACTTAGAGAGGGGCCCTTGCCAGATACCATATCTGGCACTTCGATCTTGGACTTCCTAGCCTCCATTGACTCTGAGAAATAAATTTCCATTGTTTGTAAGGCCATTCTGTTTATAGAATTTTGCCATCTCATTCCCAACAGACTAAGACAATAGGTCAATCAAAATACCATGAAAATATTATGTCAGCAACTCCTAAAATCCACCTAAGAGGTGAATACTTTACGTGAAATACAATTATACATTCTATAATCCTCCACCAGACCCAGAATCACCTTCAGGTTTCACATTGTTTCTGGTTTCAGGCAAGCTTTTAAACGTCGTCACATCATCTTTAGTGGAATTGAGTCCCAAATGAGTCACAAGCCAATAAAAACTACCTGCTTATTTGCTAATTAGATACAATTTATCTTAAGGAAGGAATCAAAAGGAATTTTTTTTTCTCCTAAATTCTATTAAATCTGAGAGTCCATCTTCTGCTTTTTGGGCCTGGATGCTAGCCATTACATTATTTTATGAAATATGTCTACTCGGTTATTCCAACTTGACAGGCAAATGATGCTAGGTTTGTACATCAGAAAGTTAACTCCTAGCCAGGCATGGTGGGGCACACCTGTCATCCCAGCAACTCAGGAAGCTGAGACAGGAGGATCGAAAGTTCAAAACCAGCCTTAGCAACTTAGCAAGGCCCTAAGCAACTTAGTGAGACCCTGTCTCAAAATTAAAATCAAAAAAAGGGCTAGGGATGTGGCTCAGTGGCTATGTACCCCTTGGTTCAATCCCTGGCACCCCCTCCTCACAAAAAAAGGAAAGGATAGAAAGAAAGTTAATTCTAAAAAGAAATCGTTTGAGCTGGGATCGTTTATCCTATCTCAAGAGCAGTGCAGAGATCCTTGGAAACAAGAGGAGTGGCATTGATTTCCCTGAACTTGTTTGACATGGGGTTAGTATTGCTAGTCTAGTTCCATTAGGTTCCCCCTATAAACAGCCAGTAGCAAGATACTCTTACATGAATCAGGTTTGAATTACGCCTCTATCTATAACACAGCACCAAGTTAACTGGAAACTGACATGTGCTCATTCAAGGCAGACTTAGTCCCTATTTTTTTTTCCTAGTACAATCAGCCCTTCATGTTCATGAGCTCCATATCTGTGGATTAAACCAACTGTGGATTAAAAATATTCAAACAAGAAAATTGTGCTTGTATTGAACATTATAGACTTCTTTTCTTTGTCAATATTCCATAAACAGTAGAGTTTAACAACTCTAGAAATGACTGAAATATTTGGAGGAGTGTGTAGGTAATTTGAAAATACTAGACCATATAAAAGGACTTGACCAACATAAATTTCTGGATACACGGGGCGCTGCTGGAACCAATCCCCCACAGATACTGATGGACAACAGTAGATATTTACAAAATTTATATTCTTTTTAGTGCTGCCATGTCTATACCGTGGCTCCTGAGATCTCTTTAGTTCAAATCCGCTCCTGCCTGTTCCCCACTTTGCCATTTTATTAACTAAGATGAAGTTCAAAGCCTCTGACTCTTGCTTGGTGATGATATTTTTCTCTCTGCTGTCTTCCCCCACAGCCTGGTAATTACATTGTTTATTTACTAGTTTCACACACAACCAAACCAATCCCAAACATGCCACCAAGCAGCCTTCAGGGAAATATATTCCAAAAAGCTTTACTGAAACCACTTATTTATTGACATTCAAAGACGTTTAATCATTCTGCTGAGCAACAAACACTTGGGCCAAACAAGGAACAGCCCGCCTTTCAAACACCTAACCTTTGTCAAAGGTTTATTGAGAAAGGAAAGCCACAAAAGAGCTGGAGGTGCCAAACTCGGGCAGCCTTTGTCACACCCCTGTGCCAGGTAACAGTATCATATTGCATCAATATATATGAGCATATAAAAGAGAAAAAAAGCAGGCTTCTCTCTGTGGTGAAACTGGATTAAAGTTACTGTTCCTTTTTTTGTGGATTATTATATGTATCCTCTTTCTAAAATGTTATTTCCCTTCTTCTGCTTGAGTGCCTCACCCCTAAAACATACACACATGCGCATGCGTGCGCATACACCTGTCCTCCTACCTTCTTCACATATTTGATTGATACATGCTACTGATTTGCTGTCAACGAAGTTATCTTCCCCCTGGACTCCTATTTGTTCTAGTTCCTGGTTGACCAGAGGTTTTTTGTTAAACAACAATGAAAGCTGCATGAGGACATGTGTGAGGTAATCCCGGTGACTGGAACAGCCCAGATGATCCAGAAATGGGCTCCACAGTGTCAGAAGTTGATGATTGTCATTACTGAAATAGAGATAATACTTGTTTTATGATCTGTGTATGAAAATAGGGCAAGACTCAAGTGAAATGCTTTGCATGTTTTGAGGTAGATGTTTCTTTGCCCAGAGGTTAATAAAATACTTCAAAAGGGCACAAAAAGATTAGCCACTTACCTTTTTACCAGTAGGAACATTAAAAGCCACAAAAAAAAAAAAAAAAAAAAAAAAACGTTGCCAAGTATAAACCACACCCACCACCTAGACTTTATGGTTGACATTTTCCATGTTGTATTGGTCCTCAATCTAGTCATCTAACCAACCTTTTTATTCATTGATCCATCTTTTTCTTAAAGGAAAATGCATTTCAGAGTATGTTGCAGACATCATTTCACTTCATCCCTAAACAGTCAATGTGTATTGCATTAACTATGAACTTAGTTTTTATTTGCAGTTACCATTGTTCCTTTTCTCTTTATCCTTCTCCTTCTTCTCTGCCCTCTTCTCCTTCCTCCTCTGGTATAATTTACATACAGTGAAACGCCCAAATTTATGTCATTTGGTGAGTTTTGACAAATGTGTACCACAATTAAATGTCAATGTCAAAATCTAGAAACCCTACTTTATGGTAAAAATTGAAGATGTTAAAACAGGCTTCTGAATATGCTTTAGGCTTGGCGGGGGGTGGGGGGGGGAACTCTGCCAATCTAGGGAAGTTGATGGATCCCCATATCAGAAGGATAATTTTAAATGCCTAAAGTAAAATACATAGGATTACAAAGGAAATAGTTATCAGTTTTTAAGTGATGATATAGTAGTATATCTTTCTTCTTTATAAATGCACTAAAGAACAAGATCTAGTAGTAAATCTAATAATGTCCATGAATTTGAAGTTGTGGACATACATAATTTTTTGAGATCTGCAACAACTCCAGTGTGATATAAAAATATCTAGAATTAAGTCACAAAAACTTTTTTTGATGCTGTAGTTTAGTGCTTACATTCAGAATGAAAGGAAATGCTAAATTTTAGAAAGCATTGAAAATGGAGACATGACTTTTTCTCATTTTACTTCAGTTACTCTCAATTCTATCCATGAACCTCTTCAGAGCTCTATACAATCCCACATAAAAACTCCTATGTTTGTGGTAATTACTATCACCAAAGAATGACCATTATCTATGATCATCCTTTCTTCTTTCCCTCTTGCTACAAGTAAAATGAGCCAAATCCAAAAACCCAAAGGCCATATGTTTTCTCTGATAAAAATATGTTGATCCATAATAGTGGGGGGAGAGAATAAACTTTGAATTGGGCAGAGAGGAGTGATGGTAGAGGAGTGGGGTGTGGAGGTGGTAAGGAAGGCGAAATGAGACAGACGTTATTGTCCAATATACAAGAATGATTACCTTAACAGTGTGACTCTATGCCGTGTACAGCCAGAGAATGAGAAGTCGGGCTCCATTTGTGTAAAATCTGTCAAAATGAATTCATGGGTCATGGATACCTAATTACAAAAAAAAAAAAAAATTCAATACAAAAAAATTCCAGGCTCCTTTCATATTATGAAAGTTGAAAAGGTTCTGGAGGCCCCAGAATGAGATGACCACTGGTAACCATCGGTTACTCTGACCTCACAAGGAGCCACTGTGATGCGCTCTCAAACACCGGCCATATAAGAGAGGGCCTGCAGCTGGGTTTTTCGTCCATAAGTACAGGAAGCTCTTGGTGGTGACCTGTCGGACTCCCAGATAGTTAGTGGTTGGTGGTTGGTTGTTAGTGGTTTGGTGGCTGGTGGTTTCGGTGTTTGCTGTTGTTTTTTTGATTTGGGCTTTTGTTTGTTTGTTTTGTCTTCTGTCTTTTGGTTGTTGGTTTTGTTCTTTTGTTTGGATTTGTTATTTTATTTTTTTATTTTTATTTTATTTAATATTATTTTATTTTTTATTTATTTTTATTTTATTTTATTTTTATTTATTTTTATTTTATTTATTTATTTATTTATTTTATTTATTTTGAATGAGCGTCCTTAGTTGGTGTTCCAGCTTTAGGATGCAGAGTCAGAGTAGAGAGAATAGTGTAGGGTCACAGGAGCCCAGCTCCTGCTACGAGTCGGCCCTCACCGACCATTACCAGGTGGTGAGGGAGCTTGGGGAGGGGGGCTTCAGCCATGTGTTACTGGCCCGCCATCTCCTCACAGGGGCAGAGGTGGCAGTGAAAGTGGTGTCCAAGGCACAGGGGAACGTGCCCGTCCTTTCCGAATCGGAGAGGTTGATGGCCCTGGATCACCGCAACGTTATCCAGCTCTTCCAGGTAATGGAGAGCCCGAGCACCGTCTACATGGTCATGGAGCACGCAGATGGGGGAGACCTATGGCACTACATCCCTGAGGTCGGTGGCCTGCAGGAGGACCAAGCCCGCCCGGTGTTCAGGCAGATCGTGCGCGCTGTGCGCCACTGCCACGACAGGGGCATAGTGCACCTGGACCTGAAGCCCGGCAACGTGGTGGTGGACATCAGGGCCGGCAGTGTCAAGCTCATTGACTTTGGCCTGGGCGCTACCTTCACGCCTGGGCAGAAGCTCAACGGCTTCTGGGGCACTGTCCCATACTGTGCCCCTGAAATCGTGCAGCATCAAGAATATGAGGGTCCCCCTGCAGACGTCTGGAGCCTGGGGGTTACCCTGTTTCTCATGCTCACTGGGAGACGCCCATTTAAGGCCAGAGTCGCCAACTGCCTGCAGGACGTCCTCATGCAGGCCAGCTACCACCTTCCCAGGTACCTTTCCCAGGACGCCTGCAGCCTCATCCGGCAGATGCTGAGGCTGGACCCCAGGCAGAGGGCCACCCTGGAGCAGGTAATGGGGCACCCGTGGCTGAGCCAGGGCAGGGAACCCTCGCCCAATCCTTGCAGTGACCCACACCCCAGACACCCAGACCCCGCCATCATGACCATCATGTTCGACATGGGTTACGACCCCTACCACACCTGGGTGTCCTTGGACCAGCGGAAATACAATGAGGCCATGGCCACCTACCTTATCCTCCAGCACCAGAGAACCCAGGCCGCGGCGGGGTGGGCGCTCCAGGCGAGGCCTGTGCGCAGAAGGGTGGTGGGGCCTCGCCCAGGCCCCGCGGATGCCCCCGGCCTGCGCCCCAGCAAGTGGTGCACCAGCGAGCCTGCCCATCCAGTGCCCTGGGAGCACCAGCCACCAGAGGAGGCCAGGCAGGCAGGGCACAGGGGCGCGGTCAGTGCCAGCATGCCCGCCATCCCTCTGCGGTTCTTCCACGTGGGCACAGCCTCTCCCAGCCCAGCCTCCCGAGGCGACCCTGTGCCCCGCGGGCCCCAAGACCCCAGGCCCAGCCCATGGAGGGTCCTCTGCGGGTGTGTGGCAGAAGGCCCCAGCTCCTCCTCCCAGGGGTCCTCAGGCCAATCCGCTAACAGCGGCAGGGGTTGGAGGGGGGTCACCAGGAGGATCGCCACCTGCCTCCAGCAACTGTGCTGCTGCTTGCCCTGCTTCCGCGGACCCGGCTCCCGAAGAAGAGCGGCACCCGTGCAGGGAGGCCACAGGAGCCCTAGGTTCCAAAACAGAGTGGCCCCAGTGGACGCGCCCTGAGGAGGCACACAGACCAAGGGACAGCCAGAAGACCCCGATCTCCGAGCAGCCTGACCTCAGAGTCGGCACCCGTCAGGAAGGGCACCGAAACAGCTGCAGCACTGAGGGACGCCCACTGGCCTGGGCCTCCCCGCGTGGACTCCAGCCAAGAGCCCGTCGGCCTCCACCACCACTCTCTCTGCCCCCTCCTGCCACAGACATCAGAGACTCTTCCCTGGGACACTTCCCCTGCCCTGCTCTGCCCCGGCCTTCCTCCCGGGCTTCTGGGAAACCAGCGATGGTTCCTCATCAATTTCTCTTTCTCACCCATTGAATAATAAAATTGATTTTTCAAAGACTATTTTGTTTTGCTTTGTTTTAAGAGGGCAGGTTGAAAAATAGAGGAGATAAAACTTAAAAAGGAAAAACCCAAACCAAAGAGAGGCCTCAGGGCAAAAGCAGGAGCCCAGCAGATGTCCTGACCACAGCCTGGACCACTGGGCCTCCCTCTGCTGTTCTGTGTAGATAGAGACTCCTGCACCTTCAGCCAGTGTAGGTGGGGACTCAAGTGCCTTGACCTCGTGTAGATGGAGATTCTCTCCTTGAGCCACTGGAGACTCGATTCTGTTTTAGTCGATTGCTTTGGCCACCAAGGATCTTTCCTGCTCTTCAGGCCCCTCCCTGAGATGTGTGGAGAGGGTGGGTGGCAGGTGTTAGAGAAGACTCGTCTGGAAAGCCACTGGACTCCACAGAGTGTCTGTGGCATCACCTCCATAATCCCACGGGCAGGGAAGCCAGAGACGAGCCAGTGGGCGGGGGTGGGCTGGCCTGCAGCAGTGGCTGCCTGCGGCACCAGCACGCCTTGCCACCTCTGAACCCAACATCTCCTCCTGGCTGCTGCTAAAGGTCATGAAGAATGAATGAGCACATGGGCTCTGGGGACTGGCGATCTTAAACTGTCCCACAGTGGCTACTTACATAAAAGCCAAGTGACCATCAAGGAAATAAAATTCCTAATATAAAAAGCTCCCAAAAGATCTTCAGCTATAGATGATGGCCCTGGAGAATTCCGCCACACAGTGAAGAAGACCAACTGTATACAAACGTTTCCAGGAAGTGGAAGCACAGGGAACAACTCGCCATGTATTTTATGAAGCTGGTATTGCCCGACCATCAAACCAGAAAAGCCGCTGCCAGAGAGAACCATCAGAGAAACCCCAGTATAGACACCAACATCCCCATACGATGCACTTTACTGAAAAGCCAAGAAAGGCACAGGAGGGTATGGATTCATGTAGAATAATGACGTGACAGAACTCGGCACCTATTGAAAAGTCTCCCAGATGGGTAGGACCAGGGAGTGTCAGGGATCCATCCTGTCCCCCAGACCTCCACACCTAAGAATAAGGTCTCTCTTGTCAGAAATAAGATGGGAGCCTAAGGAACCAGGGTGAGCTCATGGTTCAGCGTGGCTTGTGTCCTCATAGGGAGGCCAGGGCAAGTTTGATTCAGTGTGACTTAGGTTGTTAGGGGACTGTCTTCTGTTCAGGGGATGTCTGTAGTGAAACATTTGAGTTTTCTTACTTCTCACTTTGGGTATGTCCTAGAGGTATTTCTTGGTGGTTCCTGTGGGGGTTTCATTTCCCACGAGATAGGAACAGCAGCCAGATGGAGTCTGTGGCAGGGTAACTTCACTGGCGTAGAGAATGCCGCTGCTGTGCCTCTCCATGCCCACCCGCTCAGCCAGTTTTGTCACAATGTTACACGTGCACACTGTGTTTGATTCCATAGAATAATCTTGGGGTTTTTCTCCAATTTATTCTCTTACATCTTGTGGAACAAAGGTAGCACTAGCTTTTATAATTGTCCTGGATTTGCTTTACCAGAGATCTTTCTGTCTTCATGGAGATCTGACTACCCAATCTAATGTGCTTCAGGTCAGCCCCAAGAACCCCCCTCATACAGGCACATCTAGTGGGGACCAGCTCCACTAGAGTGCAGTCAGGCCATGAGGCTCCACCCGCAGGGATGGGAGGTGCAGTTTAAGAGTGCTTCTCCAGGGGCTGGTGTTGGAGCTCAGTGGTAGAGCTCCTGCGTAGCATGTGTGAGGCAGTGTGTTTGATTCTAAGCACCACATAAAAATGAATAAAAGTCCATTCAGTTAAGAAAAATTTTAAAAACAATGCTTCTCCAGCATGCTCTAAGACGTGGTTCACTTCCTAGCAGTGCACACGTGCCCACACATACACAGAGACACACGTAAGAATATTTATCTAGCATGGAACAATGGCCTGTGGCTGTGTTTTAATTAACTTCCTCATGTCTTTGGCCCAGACACCCAACAAGAAATAGTTAGAGGAGATTATGTTGGCACACAGGTCAGGGTTTCAGTGGTCTCCATGTGTACATTGCTGATTCCATTGCTCTGGGCCCAAGGTGAGGAAGCTCATCAAGGGAGAAAGACCCAAAGGAAGAAAGGTTCTCTCCTGGGACATTTCCCTCTACCCTTCTCTTTCCTGGCTTTCTTCCTGGGCTTCTGGGATAACATGGATGCTTAATAAATTTCTGGTTTTTACCCAATTGTATAATAAAATCGATGTTCTAAAGGTTGGAGGGGGAGAATAAATCTCTCTCATTGTCTGGGTCTACTTACAGAAAATAGGAATTCCTTCAGCTATGTCAAGCAAAATGAAACTTTATTAATTGATTAATTCATGATATTTAAAGTGGGGAACTAAAGTCTTACAATCTCCTTAGAAGGGCTGAAGTAGCAAGCTTGGTAATATCAAGAACACCGCCAGGGAACTAGCCCTCAGATAAGCTGCCTCCTCTTGTGCAATCAGAAAGGAGGACTGGAAGTGAGCATTGGAGCCCTTGGTTCCAGGACCCCTTCTATAGCTGAGATTAGTAGGTGAGCTGTGAAAACAGCAGCCCCAGACTCCCACCGTGCTGAATGGGATCTGCATTCTGCTTCTTGACATCTGGTCATTGGAACACTGCTAAAGAAAAATCCAGTGGGTCCACAAAGGGCTTGCCAGCAGAAACAGCAGATGTAGCCAGGTGCTACAGGTATCATGAATCAATCAATTAATGAAGTTTCATTTTGCTTGAAATAGCTAAAGGAATTCCTATTTTCTGCCTCACTCTCTTTCACCTTTCTCACAATACATGTGATGGTCTGGACCTTAGTATGGAGCCCTACTTACCAGGTGATTCTGGGAAATGTGGATGAAGAGAGCCACAGCCCACATTATTCCTCCCCCACCTCCTGTCTAAGGTTCTTAATCTTGTGCCATTCCCTATCCTGTCTGCTAGTAGACATTGCTCAAGTGGTTATCTTGTCCTGTCTTCTGTCTTCAACATCCCCCTTTCTTCCACCTGTCTCTAAACAACTTGCAGACCCTGAAGACAAGCCACGAAAGCAAAGGCAGACAAGTGGGACCAGGTCAGACTGAAACAGCAAAATGACCAGGCAACCCGTAGAGTGGGGGAAAATATTTGCAAGCCTTATATCTGAGTAGTGGTAAATATTTGAATTATATAAGAAAGACCTACAATTCAATAGCAAAAACAAAAAGAAATCCAATTTTGAAAATTGGGAAAGGACCTGATAGACATTTCTCCAAAGAAGACCTACAAATGGACAACAGTTATACCAAAAGGTGCTCAACATCAGTAATTACCAACTAAATGCAAATCAAAACCACAAGATAACACCTCACACCTGTTAAGATGACAATTATCAGAAAAAAAAAAAAACAGATGTAATAATGTTGGTGAAGATATGGAGAAACTGGACCTCTCATGTAGTCACCATCGAAGTTTCTTAAAAAATTATAAGTAGAATCATCATATGATCCACCAATCCCACTTTGAGGCATATATCCAAAAGAATTGAAATTAGAATCTGGAAAAGATATCTACACTCCTATGTTCACTGTAGCATTATCCACAATAGCCAAGATACGGAAACAACTAGATGTTAATCAATGGGAGACAAAGAGAATGTGGTGTGTGTGTATAATGGCCAAAAAAAAAAAAAAAGAAGAAGAAGAAGAAGAAGGAAATTGTGTTATTTGTGACATGGATTAACCTGGAAGACATTATACTGAGTGAAATAAGCCAGATACAGAACAAATATCACATGGTCCCACTTACATGGGATATTTAAAATATTCAAACTCATAGATGTAGAAAAAATGGTGGGACTGGAAAGGGAGGTGGTGGGAGTTGCTGTTCAACAGTTACAAAGTTTTGGTTATGAAGATTAGTAAGTTCTAGAACTCTCCTGTACAGTCTGCGCATGTAGTTAACGATACTATGTTGTACACATAAAATGTGTTAAGAGGGTGGATGTCATGGAACTGTTCTCACCCCAATAAAATAAGAGCCATATATTAGAAAATATTTGGGGGCTGGGGAATGTACCTCAGTGCAGAGCACTTGCTTAGAATGCATGAGGCCCCAGGTTTGATTCCTAGCACTACAAAAAAAAAATTCATATTTTCCTTTCACTAAATTCTTATATATATACTATGATCTCATTTGGGGTTGGAGTGCAGGGGGGGACATGTTTGTTTTGTATCATTGTCATGTTTGGGTGGGGGGCGTTGTCCCAGCTTTTTGGAAGTTTTCAATTAAAAATTGCTCACCATTTTAAAGTACCACATTTCTAGGATTATAATCTCTGTTAATTTTTTCAAATTTAAGTTACACATATGATACGGTAACACTTAACATAATAATGTAACTACTTATGTTAAGTAGAGAAATGAATGAAAAAATTAGGGTACATTTTTGGATGACAGAATTATGGGTGACATATAATTTGTGTGACACATCAATGTATTTTTCCATTTTTAATTCAACAAACATGTATTGATCACCTTCTCTATGGGCCAGATATTGCTGAGGACCTGGGATAACAAAAAGGAAGGAAAGCATGTCCCTGAACCAACCATTGGGCTCCTTGACTTGGCACTAGCCCAGTCTTCCAGACCATCTGGGTTGCCAAACAAGTCAGATCCAAATTTTAAGTACAAGTGAATGTAACCTGAGATTGTATCTAATGGGATTACGATAGTCAAAGTACAATATGTTCTTTGACCCTTTGAGATTGACTGGACTGAATGTGTCATGGGAAATGTTCTCCTCTTTGATGTCTTCTCATTCTTAACACCAAATTACATAACATAAAAAGAAAAAAAAAAAAAGAGCTAGAAACAAAGTGTCATGAATCAACCTACAGGCCCAGTGAATCAAATTATGTTCTTTGCATCTGTTTAGAGAAGGTCTATCCAATCCTTCTCTCAACAAACCAGTTGTAGTGGCACACGCCTGTAATCCCAGTGAGTCAGGAAGCTGAAGCAGGAGGATCACAAGTTCAAGGCCAGCCTCAGCAATTTATCGAGCTCAAAGCTCCATTTTCACTGTTCTGAGAGTATTAACATGTAATTCTCATAACCATATGGAATAGGTATTATTGTCCTCAGGTTCTGTATGAGGAACCAAGGCAGAGAGAGAATAAATGACCTACTCAAAGTCATCAAGGTAGGAAGTAAAGTTTGAACTGGGCAATCTTCATATTTCTCTAATTCAGAGCTCCTGCCTCACCCCACCCACGGCAGTCCTGTATTATTAAGGACTCCATGTTTTCTTCCTTTGCATGTCCTGGAGTCCTATACTATGAGTGACTTGGCTCATGCTACCAAGATTAACAATGACTTTACTGCAAAATGCCAGCAGCATTTGTAGTATATTTTTCCTGTGTCCCCTAACCAATATCTCAAGCAGAGCTTAGCTCACCAAGATGGATAAATATTAACTTTAGGTCAGCACCTTATGTCACAGGCCAGAGTCTAAAACAGCAGGGAACTTTGGTCTCTTCCTGTATCTCCTCTCATGTGGACACAGGACAGAAAAGCAGCCTCAGGTGTCTCTGGGCAAATCGTTGGACAGCCATGCTGCCTTATTCTCCTCCATTCTATAGCACTGGATCGTGTCCTTAATATGTAGAAATTTTAACCATGAAAGAATTAGAGCATTCTCTCAACTACCAGATTTCTGTGTGTTCATGTTCAAAAGTACAGGCACATGTACAAAGGGATACAAGAAACGTAAATGTGAGGTCAAGGGTCACTAGAAGTCATCTACTCCAAGTCTCTCCATTTATAAAAGAGGGAAGCAAGCACCCCCAAAATTATGTGCCAAAGTCACATAGATTTTATTTTGATAAAGCCTTTATTTTTAAATCAGTTTATACCCTTACACTTTAAATCATTTAAAAAGTTTTTCACCAGGTATATGCTAGAATATATACTAGAATATGCTGGTATATACTAGACTATACATATTCCACATACTGGAGTATAGTTTTTAAAGTCTGCAAATTTTACAAGGTTTCTTAAGAAAAAGACAGATGCCCAGGTCACCTGCTGCTCACTCTCTTTCCCAAAGACTAAGTATGACTTTGTTTTCTCACCTTCTGTTTTGTTTTGTTTTGGAGGTGGGGAGTTGGACATTGTACACTGACTTTCCCCTGTGTAGGATAAAGACTCAGCCCTCCACCTGATACAGTTCCATCTCAATTGTGATGGAAATATTCAATTTACACTATTTGCGTTTTTGTGACTGTAGATGATATTCAGAAATGGGGCACATCCTAAGCTTGTGTGTGTGTGTGTGTGTGTGTGTGTATGAGTATGTGTGTGTATAAGTGTGCCCATGCTTGTGGGTATCTTTCTAATACAAATTTAACATCCACAGAGTTAATCATTTTCTTTTTGCTCTGCCTGTTTTTCTTGCCTATGTTTGCTTTGTTTGGGAGCCAGGTCTCACTAGGTTGCCCTGTCTGGTCTCCACTTGTGTCAAGTGGTCCTCCTGCCTCTACCTCCAAGTAGCTGTGGCTATGGGCATGTGCCACCATGCCAGTTTGTACTTGTTTTTAATAAATGTACTTACCTTTCATTCAATACTGAAATGTTTCCCAGTTGTCTAAATAGTCCCTCAAGATATTCAGTAATTCTTTCAATTTTCTATCAAGTATTGCATCAGTCCTATCCATGGCAAGCTTATGAGGTCTCTTCTGGAGAACTCTGCCTGCAGGTCTGAACTGGTTGTCTTCTGTACCTGCTCCGTCTCCCATCATCCTTCACTTCATCCTGTGTTAGAGCCCCATTTCTGGGCCTCACATATCTTAGTCCATTTTCTGTTGAGCAATTGATATACCACAGAGTGGGTATTTTATAAACAGGAGAAATGTATTCAGCTCAGGGTTCCAGAGGCTGGGAGTTCAGCAGCATAGCGCCCCCATCTGGAGATGCCTCCTTGCTGCATCATAACATGGTAAAAGGGTTGGCAAGCATGAGAAGACAGAGAACCAGGTGAACTCTGATAGCAGATCCATCCTTGGGCTAACTAATCCACTCCCTCAGTGAGGACACTGATCCATTCATGAGGGATGTGCCCTCATGACCCACTCACCTCTTAATGGTCCCACCTCTGAATACCTTTACGACAGCTATTAAATTACAACATGAGTTAGAGAGGAGCTTCAAACCATAACAGCATATTTTCCTTTTTTCTTATTTTTTTTATTAACCATGTCCTCTAATAGCTTCCTAAGAAAAAGTATATGTGTGTAAATATTCAATATTTAAGACCAGCTGTCTAAAAGTACCTGGGTTCTACCTTCCCACTTGATTGATAGAGTGATTGCCTCTAGGGTTCTGTGTTGGAAATCATTTTCACACAGAACCTTTTTCCCTTCTTTGTTTCTTTGTTTTGGTTTTGATTTTTGATTTTTTTTTTCTCCCTTCAGAGTCCTGAAGACACTGCTCCTTCATCTCCTGGTTCATTGTGGCCATTGAGATGCATAACACCATTCCAGTTCCCAGTCCTTTGTGCATAGTTTGATTTTCTTCTCTGGGTGTTAAATATTCCTTACCTCAGAGTGGGGAGACTTCACAGTGACACACCTTGGTATGAGTTGGCTTCTATTCCCTGTGTGGGGCTCTCAGCATCTCCTTCTGCACCAAGAAAATCTACTCCAGATTAGGGGTATTTTCTGGAATTATTTTGGTGATGTTTTCTTCTGAGAGTTTTTTTATTTTGTTTTTTTCACTTTCTAGATCTCCTGGAATTCCTAATATATTTATCTGCTTTTCTTATCTTTCCTCATCCATTTCTTTGCCTTTTCACTCTAATGTCTTCAATTTTAATGTACATTTCTCCAATGAAGGTCTTATTTCTGCTGTTTGTCTCCTGCCATCTGTCTTCCTTGTTCTCTCAATTCCCTATTGTTAGATTCATGATGCAAATACAGACATGAGGTATATATTCATTTTATCTCTAAATAACCATTTCTGAAAGTTTCTTTTTTTCCTAACCATTTTTGAAAGTGTCTTTTTTCTCCATAGTCCCTGGTTCCTCCAAATTGTTTCTGTTTTCATTGGCTTCATGGTAGTCGCGGTGTTCTGCTCAGATGTAAGAGTAGGACTACAAACTGAAGCTCAGGACGACTTATGAACAATGAGCCTGGAATCTGATTGGGGGGATGTGTCTTCCAAAATGCTCATCAACGATGACTTTGGCTGTAATGCTCTGGCTGAGCTGGTTGTTAGGGAGCATCCATGTAACTATCTTTAGGGATTTCCTCCAAGGTTGGTCCTAAGAAAGCTCTTCCAGCCCCTTGCCTGGAGAGTAAGGACCTGGTAGCCAGCATTTGAGGGATGCAGCTGGGAAGCAGATGAAAGGAATCTCTGTGTACTGGGTGCATGTTTACTTTATGCTCCTGTTTCATCTAGTATCCCACCTTCAGTGTTGCCTGCTGTTTCCCCAAGTCAGAGGGCTTCTGGCCTGACCCTCTTCACAAGATTAAGTGTCTGGACTTCTGCCGGAGGAGAGGAGGTGGAGTCACCCAGATGCTCCCAGTAAGGGGAGCACAAGTGTCAGCTTCTTAAACACATCTTAATCCTTCCCATTTTGACCTCAGCCTCTTCCTCTACCAGAGTGACCTGATGCTGCCAATCCCAGAGCCTTTGGAGGACCCTCCA